CACTGATTGAATAGGCGAATTCTTCACTTACTTTATTTTAAAATTCTACTGCATATAATTCAACTGAAAATGAAAAATTAAATGAATGTGAACAGAAATGTTAATGATAATTGTACCATATTTATAAGACTACTAAAGGAATATCAAAATCATGAATAAAAATGAGATTTACTATTATTAATATGTAAAGCTGCTTGAAGTAGCATCAAAACACAGTCCTGTCTATAGAATTTCATTGTGCTTAGTAGAGAGTTGCAAAGAGAACAATACATGAAATTCGAATTATGTACAAGAATTTTTCCTATATTACTTTACAGAAAAACTTTTATCAAAGTCTTTTATTCATCTTTCCACAATTTCTCAATCACAGTGCTACAGAAAAAAATTACATTTCACTTGAGCTGCTAAGTACTTTTATTTCTACTTAATAATGTTCCTTAATAGTTTCATAATTTGACGGAAATAATTTCACTCTCAATTGTATCATCAGAATATTTCTTGCTGTCTTGATGGGGACAATACCGATTCATCAATCTAATCAGACCCAGCTCCGCTTAGATCTCTGCTTTTCTTCTCACCTGGTGTTTATGTTAGAAGAGCCTTAAGGAGCTGACTTCCCTACTTGGGCTGCTTCCAACCCCTGGGTGCTCTGCAGGCTCCCTGACTCTAGCAGCCCATAAATAGCAGCTCACTGGGCTGGAAGCAGAGCTTCCGGGCAGCTTGGTGTACATGAGGCCTCATTGGTTCACCAAGGAAGAAAATGGATACATGAATTTACTCTCTTGTTCAAGAAGTGTAAAAACTTATGTTTCTCTATATTCTTCCCAGCACTTGTGACTAGACATTTAACTTTATGACAATTTGAAGGGTTTTGGATTTCATGTCCATCATGCTGATAGTACCCAATTTTGAGCACTTTTAAAAGATGTTTATTTAGCTTTATGAATGGGTTAACTTCTACAGCATTTATAAAAACTTTGGTTGTTCTATTTCTGATTTTTATTGATCTATCAGATATCTTCATTCTACATGGAAGATCTTAGTTTTGTGGATACCCTACTGTCTTGTGTCTTTGTTCATTTACTATTATATTTTAAAGAATATGGTCAAATTCATAAATGATTTCTTTCACGGTCAGTTTCTTTGTGCTTTAAGAATATTTTTCTGTTCTAAAATTGAAGAAAAATACCTCTGATCAAACATTATTGAAATATCAAAGTTTAGCATTAAGCTTTGATGTTTATATTGAATCACTCACTGTGTCCATTCTTGCATCTTTAAGCTTCAGTATAGGACGGTTTTCCTTCTGCCTTAGAAATTTTCCTCCTTAGAAATTACTGTAAAATAAATTTGTGGAAGAAATCCACTTCTTCTCCTTTTTCTTTTCTTCTTTTATTTTTGTTTTGCTTTTTATCTACATTTAAAAAGTTATATATTTATTGTAGTATTTAAATGTGTGTATAGAATTCTAAGATTACTTATTATTTTGTATCTTGTCTTTGAAGAAATCATACTATTGTCTTTTGTGTATTTTTGAAAATGTGCCTAAATCTCCTTACTCTAGAGTCAATTTGTATTCCTAAATTTGCTTGGGATTTAATGAACTTTAGTCTACAACTCCTTGGTGTCTTTTACGTTTTGGAAAAAATTCTTATCTAATAGTTTTTCAAATATTATCTCTGTCACACTTTCTCTATTCTTTCATTCTGGGATTCTACATAAATGTGTTTTCATTAACTTCTTATTTTTACAAATCTGTCTTTCTGTTCATGTTTTCTTTATATAATCACATAATCATCTCTCGGGTTTACTAATATAATTTGATATTAAAAATGTAAATTCAATAATTAGCAAAAATTAATATAATTCCTGTTTGTATATTTTTTTTAATTCTCTTACAAGCTTATAGTGTGATTTTATTAAGGATTTGAGCTCCTTGCAAAAGCTTCTACACTGACTTAATTTTCATAAACATAATGAATTTTATAGTACATACCTTTGGGGTTGCTACTGCTACTTCTCATTATGCTGTCTTCTTTTTTGTGCCTTATTACACATGTGACAGTTTGATAAGTATTTTAAAGATATACAACAATGCTTAGACAATTGCAATAATATTAACTTACTCTGAAAAGGAAAATTTTACTTTTTCATGAGACATGTAAGTAGAAGTAGTCCATCACCCACTCACTGACTCACCAAGTGTGGCATTTTAAATTCTACCGCAAGGAGGAAGGTGTGGCATTATTTCACCCATCTCACATGCCTGTCGAAAAGACGTTAGTGTGCCTAACCTCTCACAATACCAGGAATGTGGAGGAGGCTTCACAGCAGTGAGCAGTGCAGTCTCGGCTCTAAACTACAATTGTCCTCATTGCACAGATGGAATGGCTTACTCCTCCTCATCTCTGCAATGCCTTTATGAACATGTTAAGAACCCATTTGATAATAACTATAAAAAAGACTAAAGATCAACATGACCATCTTGCATGAAAATAACTCTTTTGTTAAATTCTTTCAAGGGAAAGCCACTTAACTTATGGTTGCACTAGTTATAGTTAAAAGAATTTGTTTTGTACTTTATGTAATGTTTCAGGAAGCAGGTGGGATATGCAGGTCAAATATACTGAAAAAAGGTAAATAATTTTGACACATATGTGCAATTGTTAAGTAACACATATTATCAAGATATTTTTAAAATAATTTTGAAATGTATTCTTCAAGTTAAAGACAATTTTCTGTGCATGTTATTTCATGGATGACTAGCAATTTTTTATTCTTATAATGTAACTTCTCAAAAATACATTTCGAAAAGCTGTCCTATACAATGCTTTCACAATTCTTGGCATTTGTTTAAGATGATCATATTATGTATTTAGTATCATAATACATGCCTTTAAAAACAGAAAGAATTTAAGCACTTTGAGACTCAATACCAGAAGAATCTAGTGAAGGGTTCCCAGGTTCCCTGAGTAGCTTTAGGGTCTCTAAACATCCGGACCCGAGATCTCATTATCTCTTGTATGATTTAATGAGGAATTAGAAACTATAAGCAAAAATGTAAATTAAACAACTTCTGAGATATTAAAACATAACAATACTCATGTGTTTCATGGTACTATTACTTCTATAATCTTCAAACTTTCTATAAATTTATAATTTTTATAAAAAGCCAAGCACTTCATCTGTAAATCTGAAGCTTCACATTCTTCACCTCCCTAGTTGGTTAAGTTGTTTTAGTTATCCATAATGATGAATGTCTCTATGTATATGTGTGTGCTTGTGTGCATAAGTGTGTGTATCCATTCTAACACATATATTACATGCAGATTAAAAATGTTATCTGTGCTTTATTATTCAAGAAACATGGAAAAAAGTGCTAATCTGATCTATGAACAACCATTATTAAAGGAACGTGAACTAATATACATATACTTTAAAAAGGTGCTTGTTATGCATCGCCTGTTACCCACATTGGATTTTTGCAGCTGTGAGGACCCAAGAAACAAGCTTCAGTCAAGCCCCTTTCTGGTTGGAGTTTTCAGAATCAAGAGCGCCCCTACCTTCTGTGACAACATGAAACAATCACAACTTAAGTCTGTTTTGGATCTGGAAAGCTCAGGCTGTGTAGCACAATACAGTTGTCAATCTGTTCCTGCTTACTTTCATCAGTAATGGTCTGCTGGCCAGGGTGAAGGTCACATAGATTGGAGTCAGACCTAGGCAAGTGCTCGAGGAGACATAAGCATCACACTCACCTTTGGCCTGTGATGCGGCACTGGCATTTTCTGCACAGCAATCTGTGATGGCCGCAAGCAGCAAAGAACCACTGATTGGACAGTTACTTTCTGTGACATTACTCTGACCAATGCCTTTCTCCTTGAGATGAAGACTGGGTTAAGAGTAAAAGAAACAGAGGACAGAATGGTGGTAGTGGAGAGGCATGCCTGGATGACTGCAGTGACTGAGTGTGACCGTGCTTATTCCAGTTTAGAAGACACAATCTTCTCCAATCAGCTCCCCATGGAAAATGCCACCAACTATATCAAGGGAAAAATACAATTATATGAGCTTCCCTGTCCAAATTTAAATTATAAGAGTCTTGTGGGATACAGCTATCCCAGATAAGAAGACAGGTGTCACAATACAAGATTCAGCCCCAGTGGAGAGACGTTATTGTCTCTGAGGATCAACTGGGAGCAGGGGATTTCTGGTTGGGGTTGGTGGTGGGGCGTTCCCAGGAATGTCTCATGGCAAAGATAGTTGTTAATTCTCACTGTTGCTCCAGATCGTCTAAAAAGAAAAGGAAATCTCCACCCATATTTCAAATAATATGTTCGTGGTTCAGCATAGTTATTGACAGAAACATTGGTTAATTGGTGTACATTGGTTAATTAAAAATATATTTAACTTTGTAATGTAAGGAAAGGTGAGTGTTTTTACCAACACCCTGATACAGACAGTTGGTGGAATTTCCCTTAGTTGTTGTTGGGTTAGTTCTCTGTCTCTCTCCTCCTATTTCCCACCCACAGTAAACTACATTTCTTGTGTCCCTTTACATCTTGCATGCTCTGATGCATTACACTCAATCGGCTGCATCAGTGCTCTGTGGAGGTGGCCAGCATGGTCTCAGCTCAACCATAGCATAAATCGATCAGAGAATAAGCAATGTCATTTTTATTTCAATGCCTGTGACACACTGCATGTCGATTTGGCAGATAAATAATTTATCTCTCTTTTGGGTGCAATCTACCAGGCTTATTATAACTTACTTCTTATATTCATTTCATGTTTAATAGTTTCTTGCCTTATGAGAATGTTTGGCAATCAATTAAATTGAAACATCATCATGATCAATCTTTTATTTTTCTTCATTTCATTGCAAGATTTTTGTTTTACCTTTTATTCAATTAAATGGGCAAATGACCAGCATAGAGGAGCTCTGCAGTCACCAGCTTTGCAGAGCGCTGCTCATGGTGTGCTGGTTTCTCTCTGTGCAGAGGTGATCCAGCTGAGCCTGCCTGAGGACCAGAGACTGCGCATCACTGCGGCCACTGTGGGGCAGAGTGTGGTCCTGAGCTGCGCTGTCCATGGAGACCTGCGCCCCCCCATCATCTGGAAAAGGAACAACATTGTTCTCAATGACTTAGATTTGGAAGACATCAATGTGAGTACATCCCAGAGATGCTCAGGGCTTAGAGAACGTGGCATGTAGCGTAGAAGAGGATCCTTGGATTGCTGGAGTCTACACCCTGCTAGAGGGATGTGCACGGTAGGTCTCATGCAACTTCTCATCTTGGAGCATGAGCAGATTGTGTGGCAATGTGCTACTAAGAAAATACATCGGTGTAAAAATGTCACAAGGAGAGTCTGTTAAGCTTAAAATGCAAATTCCTATTCCAGAGTAAACTCACATCTAGAAATTAGTTCTATAATTGTAGAAACTTAATTCTCTATGGATAAGATTACTCACCTTCATGACTTTATAAGAATAAAAAATTAGAATACCATCCATAGGGACTATGTGGTGACTGTGTACATCAGGAAGGGGAATTTATATGTGTGGATATGAACATATGATGTTTATATGAAAATCTACCCTAAATTAGAATGCTTCTATATAGAATGCCTTCATAAACATAAATTTATAAACATTTGTTTACAAATTTATTTAAAACTTTCTTATTAGGAAACAATTTTTAAAATTTTTTTTTCTTTTTGAGACAAAGTCTCAGTAGTAGTTCAGGCTGGCCTTGGGCTCACTTTATAGCCCAGGCTGGTCTCGAACTTGCAACAGTTCTCCTGTCTCACCCTCCTGAGTGCTAGAATTACAAGAGTGTGCTACCATGTCTGGCCACATGAAGAATTTCTAAGGCCGTATGGATGTTCTAAACCACAGAATGAAGTAGTTCTTGGATTGTGTTGTACTCAGGGAGGGAATTCAGACTTATAAGACATATCTTTGTGTACCTCATGCACTTCTAATATGTGATTGTATTATTTTTTAACTTAAAATGTTCTTAAAAGCAGCAGTGTGGTTATCTAATGTGTCTGGAAATTATGAAACACCTCCAACAAGTACACAAGCTTGCATACCTGGCAGAGTGCTCCTTTTACTGCTTTACTGCTTGCTTGTTGAAAGATTATAGCATTCTGACTTCCCAGCTGGGGTTGTGTCCACGGGAGCCAGAGGGACTGCAGCCCACAGGATGGTCTTAGTACTGCCAAACAAGTGTTGGGTGGTTTCACAACAAGTGGGTAAGGCGTAAACACTTGTACTCAGCACGTTTTGGTCCGTCATCTGGGAAATTATTTATATCAGAAGTTGGACTGTCAGAGTTTCTTTAGTTGTAATAATATTTATGTAATGCTGCTATGGTTGAGCACAGCCTTAAGATCTGTGAAAATTTAGAGGCATGTAAAGGCAGTATTTGCATCAATCATTTTGTAATGTATTTTAAATAAGAAATATCAATCAAAAGAAATAAATGGCTCATTTTTCTAGACTGAAGAGCACATGATTATCTATTGAGTACATTCCTGGGGATTCAGTCTAAACTGAGTAGGGATGGCTTCAAATCAAAACAGGTCCCGGGCATTCATCTGTTCACAGAAAATCGATATCACTTTGGGAGACACAGAAGTAAAACTGCCATGTATACCGAGTGTCTGTGGAGTGGAGGGGAAGAAACTTCTGCCTTAGAGCTTTTGGACTTTGACAGTCCCTTGGCATATTTTTGATCATTGCTAAAGAAGCCATTACCTTTCCAAGTATGCTTGCAGCTTTATAAATAACCCTAATGCAGAGGTCCAAGCTACAATTTTTAATGCCTGTTAATTCCATCTACTTAATGTTCTTTCATTTCATAATGTCTTAGAACACACCAGAAGGAGAAAACTTGTCCAGTTTTTATCATTTTTTGTTTTGGTGAAAGCTTTCCAAATTTGCTTACATGTGAGAGCTGTTATTGAAAAATTCCATTTAATCCTGTAAGACATCAAGAAGCTAGTATTTATTTATTTTTTTAATTTAAAGAGAGAAAAAAAACAAAGCAGTAAAAGGGTACAAGTAATACAGAATTTCAAGAAAAAATATACAGTAAGAAATCACTAGTTAATAGATTACATATTGTCATCTTAGAAACAGTTGTCCAAATTACAAAATTAAAGCATACAAAGTGGACTAGTATTTGTGCTACTAGTGAAGTGTGTTTGTGCCTGCCTGCAATCCCACCACAGGGAGGCAGAAGCAGGTGGGCTGCAAATCTGAGGCTTGCTGGGCTAAATAGCAAGTTCAAAGCCAGCCTGCATCATAGTGACAGCCTATATCAGAAAACAAAACAAAACATTATTCTTCATGTCAAAAGGAATCAGTGGCAATTTCTGATTAATATCTACATCAAGTAGAATTTAACATATGTTTACCTATTCTACACTTACATTCAAATTGCAATGCATTCAAGAAGCATTGATGTATTTTAAAAATATAACTACCTCTCATCTTTTTATCCATTCCTAAGAACAGAAGAAATTGTGTGTGTGTGTGTGTGTGTGTGTGTGTGTGTGTGTGTGTGTATGCACTTTTAATCTCCTTCGATGGGTTGCATGCAAAATTCCATTTCTTTAATAGGATGGGTTGAATCACTACGTATTCTCTGATTACCTCATTTTCTCATTAGTGCTAAAAACAACTCCATGGACCATGGAGTCATGTGATAAGAGATATCCTTAATTGTTTAACTAAGGCCACAAATCTAACAAGTGGAATTGAGGACTAGGAATTTTACCCAGCCCAACCTCTTTTAAGTAAGGAGGGCCATTGCTGGAGGAAAGTGAAATGCTGTACAGCATTTGCTGCCCGCTGCAAACACACCCTAAATAATTCTGGATCCTTTGTATTGCAAGTTGATTTGTTATGCACTGCTCTTATGTGTGGGTCGGATAGAAGTTCAACTGATATTTTAAGTCTTAAGTCTTCATTTTGCCTGTATTCATTTTTGTATCAAATGAATGCAAAAATTAGCACAAATGCAGGAGCTTGTATGATGATGGTCCTCAAGGTGGGACTCAGACTGCAGTTTGCAGTAAATCTTCCCTCACTTAAGAGTGATGTGGCCTCAAGGAAGAGTTTAAACTCTGCCTAGCACTTTCTTCTGCAAAATGAAGAAAATATTATAACTAATTTATTTTGGGGAGGGTCGATGAGACACAACATGAAATGCTTCATGAGACACTTTGTATGTTCTGGGTTTAACTGGGTCTCTCCTTGTGTGATCTTCTCCCTCTTTTACACTCTTGCCATTTCTTCTCCTTCTCCTCATACATGTTTGAAAGAACACAGCTGTCCGCAGCTGGTCGAAAACAACAAGAATTGGTTAAACAACTAAGGATGTCTCTCATCATAGGACTCCATCCTCCATGGAGTTGTTTTTAATACTAATGAGAAAATGAGGTAATCAGAGAATATGTAGAGATACAACCCACACTATTAAAGAAATGAAATTTTGCATGCAGGGTACTCATAAGATTTAAGGAGAGAGAATTCACAGGAAATACTGGGCCCAAATTCGTCCAGTTTTAATAGCCACAGGAAATGGGAGATTTTTTTTTCCAGTTCAGTGCATCTTTAGGAATCAGGCTATCTTAATTTTGGCTAGCAATCTTCTACTAATTCCTTCCCCAACAATATGCCATTATGTTCACTCTGCCAAATGAGTTGATCTATATGTCTGTTCTCAATCCTTTATTTGCTCAAATTCTTAACAAGAGATAATTGGCTTTTTAAAATTATATGTCATTCCTAGTTTGCAAGTTCCTCAGGTCAGGGAAAATGGGTTAAGGAAGGTGAGGCAAGGTGGAGACAAGATTTATTTTTGAGGTAAATATGAGGAACGAAAGTAAAACTGATGGACAAGTTTGGGAGTCAGGAGTGAAGAAAGGGTAGGATGTGCAGTGCGGCACAGCACGGGATTCACAGACTTCACTAAGAAGGTGGAATATAGTAACACTCTCACAAACGTTCACGAAAGCTTGTGTTCACAAAAAACTCAATTCTCAAACAAAAGCATTCAAACAAATGTTGCTTCCATTTACAAAATCCACATTGGTTGACAAACATAACTTCAGCCCTGTCCCCTCAAAATTGTAAAACAAATTAAGTTCATGAGTGGAGATACTACTATAAGTGATTTGACAGAAGAATTTTTTGTTTTGTTTCTGTTTTTGTTGTTTTGACTAATGAGAAATTAGATCTAAAGTATCCTAGATATAATTGCTTACATCTTACTTATAATACTCTTAGCTAACCAATATTTATAAGTTTATAGTGTGATCTAAATTCAACACTAAAATCAAATTACCTTGTATTGTCTTGATTTCAAGGGTATCTTTGAAACCGTAACAAATTTGTTAAACAATTTTAAACTTCAGATTCCTTACTTGTAATAGGAAGGCTGTAATATAATTCCATGAGACATAGCAAATGAATTATGCAAAGTAAAGCATGTTATTATTTCTGTCAACAGGAGCGTCTTAACTCAATATGGCATGGCTGGTCATATGTAATTCCGAATTTATATTAGCATGACTCCCCTTACCTCCCAGGTACATGTGCAGAGAAAATAGATATTTCTCAGATAAGATTCAGTTTCATGTGTATTATAAATATTTTTTTATAAATATGACACACAAAACCTTTCTTTTTTCATCAGAATTCAAGCCTATGTTTAGTTCACAATTTGCTTTCTCTCTATTACTGCAAAATTCAAATTCTTCTGAGTACTGTTTAAGCCACTTGCCTACAAATGGTGCACCAGTTTATGTCACTGAGCTGAAAAGTTTCAACCGCCACAATTTAGTGTGGATTTTTTGCTCGCCTCTTGTAGATTTCTATTTCCTCACAAATGTATTCCTCTGGTTCTCAAGGGTGCCTGCAGCTGTCTGTGGTTGCAACAGGCAGCAGGGTTTGTGTTCAGGGATTGTTCTTCCCCATTTCTCACTTCCAGCTGGGTTTTTCTTCAGCATCCTGTGTCCACACTCACTGACCTCTTCACTCCTCAGAGCTCATTTACATCTGTGGCATGTTTGTAGCATGGCTGGCAGGACAAACCAGATCCTCTGACTCCTTTGTTCCTCTAGTGTGGGGCCACGCTCACTGGGGAGGGGCAG